CGTACGGCGAAACAGGTAGATATCCACTAGACATACAAGTTAAACTACGTATACTTAATTTTTGGGTAAAACTTCTTTCGAATGATTCTAAACTGTCTAGTATTATGTATAAGTTACTGTATGAAATGAATTGTTCAGGAAATATGCAATCAAAATGGTTATTACATGTGAAATCTATACTGAATTATGTTGGTTTATCGTTTGTATGGGATAGCCAAGAAAATGTTAGTAAAAATAATATAAAATATGTTGTTAAACAAATCTCACAAGACCAATTTGTACAAAAATGGCACAGTATGGCTGAAAGTGCCTTAAGAGGGGAATTTATTTATCATTTAAAAGGAATTTCTGTCTTGAAGGCTACTTGATGAAACTAAATAAACAACGCAGAGTACACTTGAGTAAACTGCGATGTTCAAATTTGAAATTCCCTATAGAAGCCGGAAGATGGTTAATGTTCCTCGTGAAGACAGAATAATTTTTATGCACATTATGTGACAGGGGGTGATTGGAAATTAATTTCATTATCTGCTAGTATGTTGTAAACCAAATATTGAAAGAATAAGAAAAATACATATACCGGGATATTATTTTTTGAACCCAACAGAGGACATAGTCAGGCTATTTGGTTTGCTATATTATTGTAATATCAAAGTACTGAAGTACTGAACATCGGATGACTGCAAGTTCTTGTGGATGGTCACAAGCACTTGTCTCAGAATGAAAATCACATCTCTATACCTGAAAGTGAGGTTAACGTACAGATATATATTTTTTTTCATAGAAAGTTCGTAAATGACAGGGAATTCAACCTCTCCGTAATAAATATGATATTGAAGTGATACAAACCAGTATACTCTGGTTTGTTGTTATATATTATATTAATATTTGTATATTACAGTTACATGTATATATAATTTTCATCCATTTGTATATCATTCTATTCTATTATATTAATAATAGTGCAGTGCAAGTGAATGGTGGACACTCTTCTGTAATAATTCGATTTTTCTAATAGATTGGATTCGAGTAGGCATTCATATTTTCCCGCCAAACTTTCAATCTCCCATGCAGAGTTATCGGTCCTTGAGAGAGAGCGAGGACCATAACTCTGCATGGGAGATTGCAAACGTTCTTGAGATATTCTTCCGCATGCGTTAACACACATTTTCTGTACGTGTGCATAGATATTAAAGATATTTTACTTATATATATATTTCTAACGACAAAACATTTTCATATTATTAATTTATGTTCTAAAAAAAAATTTTTAGGAGTATCCATTGAAAAAATGAATTTATAACAAGCGATAAGGAATGTGATTTTGCACTCGATAATGTCCGCGTATTTATCACGGTTACAATCCCAACACGAAAGTTACGTAATGGAAATCTAGGCGACAGCAATACACCGGAATGCCCTCACGGTCATCCGATGTAATAAAAGTGCTCAATCATGTCGCATTGTTTTTGCAAAAAATCATGAAGTATTTTTGATATAAGAAATAGTTTAGTACTTACCTAATTAAATTTTGTGTTATAATCCAATTAATCATATGACATATATGTCACGATATGTGCCAACTATTTGTTTTGATCGTTTAAACCACGTGTCAATCAACCGTATGTGACGGTGTGTTTGATGGCTTATATTAAATTGACCTGTATATAGTATGTTTATTTCAATTTTGTTCTGTTATTATACCACTTCTGGCAAGCTGTACATTATGTATTTCTGCCTCTTGTAACAGAGTAAACTGTCAGAGTGTACAATAAAATGTTGAAATCTTGTTTATTTCCGATGCAAAGACCCTATGAGTGAATCAATATTTATTCTAAAATATGCCATCGTTAATAACCTGACATAAGTATCGTTACTATGTCCCTTCTGAATAAGTCTGTTTAAATGTTTGGTTGGCTTTTGATGTTACTCATGTGTTGAGAGATCATTTGTTTATCTTAATGAATATAAATACGACAACCGAAAGTTTTAAAATAATAACAACATCTTCAGTTCTGAGGTTTGCCAAAGCAAGTAACAACCAATTAGTCAGTTATAGTTATTCAAATACAAATTATAAATACCAGATACATAAATAGAAACTGAACATTCTTTTTAATTTATTTTGTTTCAGATAAAGCATGGCGGAGGGAAGACATCGTGGTTATGGCAGACGGTCACAAGGAAAATTTAATCTAGGTGTCATAGGACGGTCCAATAGCGGAAAGTCGTCGTTAATCAAACTTATGGTGGAGTCGCAGTTGGGACCGGGAAATGGTGATCTTCCTAAGACAGATTTTCTAGAGTGTACAGAAAAATGCGAGAAATTCGAAATTCCTGGTTGTTCGATTGTATTATGGGATGTACCTGGAGTTGGAACACAAAACGAAGGCTTAGAGGGGTACGATGAAAGAATTGAAATAGAGAAATATGATGGTTTCGTTGTTTGCTGTGGTGGACCTGTTACTGAGTATGAACTTGCTTTAAATAATCTAATAGCAAGTCATGGGCGAACATACATTTTCGTCAGAACAAAAGTTGACGCTGCTATTGAAAATGAAAAGAAGGCACATCCGTCAACCTTTGACGAAGAAGAAACATTGAAGAAACTAAGAGATGGGATTATTGAAAAACTTTCGGAAAGTGGAGTAACTGAATTTCTCGTGAGCAATCGACACCCTGACAAATTTGACTTTGAAACACTAAACTTTATTATATTCGACAGAGGAGCTTTGGTTTCATATATGACGAGTTGTAATAAGAAAGTGAAAAAAGAAAACTGGAAGAGAAAACAAGTAGAATCAGACTGCTAATCATCGAATTATGCCACACCAAGTGATATTCTTAGATCAGTCGTAACATATATGTGGCGTCTGAACAATGATCATTTCGACACTTTAATGAATAATATAAGCAATGTATCATTATCTCATATTTCACTAATTTGCATTACGGCCAATGAACAATTATATAATGATTGTACAGGCAGGACTATGGTACAACTCGTTTTAATCTGCCATATTTTGTATAAGAAGTTATCCAAGACAAAACAAACACTAGGTGCTCATCGTTTCATGGATTGTTATTTATATTTATAATTACATAATTTAATTTTGGATGTAACACGTCTTCTGATTGGCTGAAAGTTTTTTGTCTATCGGCTCAGACATAATTTTGTCATGTGACCGTGACGTCATCAACGTTTTTTCATGATTTTTGTCTATTCGAAAAAACCTTAAAAATGTGGTGCACACTTTTAAATAACCCGCGGTGTGCACAACATTTTTGATGTTATTTCTTCATAGACAGAAAAAATATTACAGTCATTCCTTAAATGTTTATACAATGTTCGTCTATTTTATGTCAATGTAAAAGGAATAACCCCGTTAATGAATGTGACGGTGATTTTGACCATTTTAACTGTCTAGCTGAAAAGGTTGCTGTTCAAAGTTGTTCTCTATTCGTTGTTGTTCTCAATCTATAGCATACAAACCACAAAAAACCCTACTCCAAAATAGGTACGAAAACCCAATAATGGATGTTTATTTAAGGGCAAAAATTCCTATAACACCTATACAGGTATGTTTTAGTATTAAAAGTTTCTTGCTATCTTTAATAGCTTTCAAGATTATAGCAAAAAACTGCAAGATTTGCATAAAAAAAAGACATTTCAGGGGAAATAACGAGAAAATAAATCGTGACCTACTAATTATGTTTACTCACGTCACCACGTCAGTTTTTGTCGAGCCTGCGACTTTTGTCGCAGAAAGCGAGACAGAGTGATAGTGATCCGCCGGCTAACTAACTACTTAAAAGCCTAATATTTCAGAAGGTAGAAGACCTGGATGCTTCATACTTTGTATATAGATGCCTTATGTTATGAAGTTTCCGTCTGTCATATGTCCATTTTCCTTCACCTCATTTTCATGGTTCAGTGACTACTTGAAAAAAAGTTGAGATTTTTTGTAATGTTAATATCTTTCTTATTATGAGTTAAAGAATAACTATATTTGGTATGTGCGTACCTTGCAAGGTCCTCGTGCCTGTCAGACAGTTTGCACTTGAACTCGACCTCATTTCATGGATCAGTGAACAAGGTTAAGTTTTCGTGGTCAAGTCCATATTTCAGATACTATAAGCAATAGGTCTACTATATTTGGTATATGGAATGATTGTAAGGTGTACATGTCCAACTGGTAGGTGTCATCTGACCTTGACCTTATTTTCGTGGTTCAGTGGTTATAGTTAAGTTTTTGTGTTTTGGTCTGCTTTTCTAATACTGTACGCAATAGGTCAACTATACATGGTGTATGTAAATATTTTACGATGTACATGTCAGTCTGGCAGGTTTTATTTGACCTTGACCTCATTTTCACGGTTCATTGCGCAATGTTAAGTTTTTGTGTTTTGGGCTGTTTTTCTTAAACTATTAGCAATAGGTAAACTATATTTGATGCATGGAATGATTGTAAAGTGTACACACTGGCAGGGTTCATCTGACCTTGACCTCATTTTCATGTTTCATTGGTAAATTTAAAGTGTTCATGGTTTGGTCTGTTTCTTGTATACTAAATGCAACTATATTCGGTTTAACATTCTGACTTTTTAAATTAAACTATTTCTTTGATTTAAAATAAATAAAAGAAACAAGATAATAAGGCTAACTCATAACAGATAAATAACGTCCAAGGCGTAATAATAATCACAATGAGTACAAAAAAAATGTCAAAATACATATATCGCAAATTTAATTACTTGTCAAAAGCTGTATTATATATATCATCTCCCTTTGGCGTCCGTCCGTCCCCGATATACACACCGAAATAGATTGCATCTCTAATTGTTAAAGTTGTTCTTGACATAAAGTTATAATTGACTTTCTTCATCGATCTAAGCTGTTTTAAGTTTGTAATTCATTACAGATTGTAACCTACTAATATCTCATGTTTATGTCTATTTCTAATCACAGCTATAGGCACTTCTTTATCTCTGAAAAATACCAATATATATAGATATAATATTATAATATTTAAAATTCAAGAGTCTATCCTAAATTGAGGTAAATTATATGGCCTTCCAAATACCGTTTCGATCCCTAACATCACTGGAGAGACATTAATTGTCGAAATCCGGATATGGTGTACAAATTTTTGCACCTCATGTTTGCGTTATACCATCTTTACCGCAACTTTATTGTTTTCTGTTTGATATTAAACTAATATGTAAGATCCATTTTTACATCTGGTGATCAATTTATTCGGCAATCGCCAATGGCAGACAGCAGGGTTTAAGAACATCAGTTGTTCGACCTGTTAGTCACATGCGTTTTGTTAAAATCATACTTTTTCACTTTTTGGTCTTTTGGAAAATGTTGTTTGTGCTGTATTTAGACCCCTCTAACAAGAAATTTGTTTTACATGCACACGTATAAAAATTGCGGTTTTTATCCAACGCAATCATAGGTTTGAACGTTGTTTTCAATTTAGACTTGTTTATAGATATATATATATATACATTTAGTTAAGTACCATATGCAGTATATATTTTAATTCTTTATAGAAAAGTGTATGTACTCAAATTTCAGTATCGTTAGCCTTTCGCCTTCATAATGTGTGCATTTTTTTTTAACTATGATAAAAAAAAAAACGATAAAGATTCATGGTTTGTTTTAAACTCTATGCTCACATCTGAATGCGTCGGATATCTTTTTTAAAGATAGTACTTGTTTTAAATCTTTGCAATGCACTATTCGTGGTTTCATTTTGTATGACTATATTTGGTCAACCATTTACACTCCTGGAAATTGAGATTTTTAAACACTTTTGCACAACTAGGGACTGATATATAGTTACAAAAAAAATGTATTAACATTTCTTTGTACTTTGAATTTTCTCGCGGAATTTATTCCTTCCAATGCTAAAGTCCTACGTCACTGTCAAAGTCCTACGTCACTGTCAACATAATGAAATAAATGTAAACATTGAGATTTCATCTTGACCTTACCGACTGTGAAGGAATATAAACAAGGTATTTTCAAGTTATTTATAGCGAATGGGTTTTACTTTCATTTTCTTGGGAATTTTTTGGTTTAGAAAGCAGCATTTGTTTTAATGAGGTAGGTTCATTTACATTAATTAGATTGTTCCTTTTAACACCATGTCATTGTACTGTATTTAACTGGGAAAAGATAGATTTTAGACCGATATGATAGAGTTATATATATGATTTTTTCTATACTTAACGTTGTGTCACATGACGAATTTGGTGTAATGACAATAAAGATCAATACATATTTGACTTGATTTAAACCGATATCGTTCAACACCAACCGGATCAGAAATGCAGAGGAGCCTCGCCACGTACATGTAACGTCAAAGTACCCAAATTGCACCGAGTACCCAGATTGCACGTTTTTAACAAAAATAGTAACGGACATCTTAAAAGTTTTCTTAGAGACTAATTAAACCATTTGTATTTTTATGATTTGACATTATGCACGTCTTTCAACATAGCTAAACATGCTAAATATATCTAAATATACACAAAACGTTCACAGTATATATCAACAGATGAAGTATTCACTCCAAAAAGTAAAATCTACGGAAACGTCGCCATGCGACGTCCACAAAAAGTCAACTTTTAAAAATGAGCAATTAAAATATGATACAGGCATCCATTTCTTAAAAGTTGAATAGGAAGCATGTGGACTATTGTCAAATTGTTCTCAATATTTGAAGAAATAAAACAAAACATCAGTTATTCTATTTTTACGGATGTGAATTTATGCATGGATGCAATTTGGATACTCCACATTAAAGAATAATGGGTCGTTTGGAGGTCGGTTGAAACCATTTTTTCTATGATTCAATATGGATTCAAAATTAAATTGGTGGAACTAAATAGTAAATTTATAAGGATACATTTACAAAATAAACACAGAATGGAAACTTTTGTCTGGATCATAAATCAACGTAGGTGACAAAAACTGTCAAAATAGGTGCAATTTGGGTACCCTCACGTTTCATGTGCACTGATGTTGCAGTGCCTGTCACAAATAAGAAATCTTGGAAGTGCTTGGCTTTTGAGGGAATTTGGTTTTGATTTGCAATTTTTATTTATACTCTCTGATAAAACTCACATCTTTTCTGAAGTCGGTGATTCAGAGCTTAAAATGTTATACTATAGACACTTGTTTAAGACCATATCTCTTTATGAATCAAATCTATGTCTGGTCTCAAATCTGTGTCCTTAGTTTCCTCAGATCTGTGTCCCGTGACGTCTAGACACACAAATCTGTGACCCTTTGTCCAGCCTCGAATATGTGTCCTTTCCTCAGATTTGTGTCCTGTGACGTCATGACAGTCTCAGTTTTTTTTTCAAATCCGTGTACTTTTTATACAGTAAAATTTAAGTAATGAGACGTGAATTGGGACAGAAACATATAGAATGCGACGCTGTCAAAGTGCTCAACCCTTCCTTAATATGAGACCATTGTGTAACAACACAACATAAATAAAGGCATTAGTAGTATACAGCTGTTCAATAGTCATAATTCGATTAGGCGAAAACAAATCCGGATAACAAACTATAACCGATGGAAACATATCAACTATAAGAGGAAAATAACGGAACAACAGAAACACTTAACTGCAACAAAAGCAAACGCCAACATACATAGAAACGGTCTGTTTGATAACAACTACCATATTCCTGACTTGATATTGGACATTTTAAGAAAAAGTGGTGGGTTGAATCAGGTTTTATGGCTAGCCAAATCTCCCGCTTATATGGCAATGTTAAAAATACCGCTAAAATGACAACACTACGTGACAGGAATACAGAACATACAAACGCAAGAACACTCAGCACAGAGAAATACATAAATAAATAATATAATAGTTTATTGCAACATGTAAACCGCAGAATAACAACGGACACCTCCCATGAATTTACGACAGCACACCAGGACACTACAAACGAAATATAAACTGCGCGTCACAGAAATGAATCAACATAACAAAATATGACGTATTTTTTGTGACGTTTATATTAACACAAGTATAAAACAAATTGTAAAATCCGCAAAGTTCACAATTCAACTAACAAAAAGAAAAAAGAAAACGCAAAAGACACATATCTATGTTACCGTTTGTTTGACGTAAGCTTGAAGACTTCTTTATAGTTTGACAAATAGCTAATGTGTCCATATTGAGAGAAAACAAGTTTTAACATTCTGACTTTTTAAACTTTCTAACTGTTTCTTTGAGTTAAAAGAAACAAGGCTAACTCATAACGGAAAAAAAAAGATTCTTTTTTCACTTTTTTAATATGCAAAAACTGAAAGCCCATCTTCTCCCGGATTAATTCCACTTTAACCTTGGTTCAAGCCTCCTGATTCCCATAAGCGCCAGGCCTCTCATTTAGGTTCCCTTATCCCTGTCGCACCCCTGTATGTGCATAGCTCAACACACATTGACTTTTCAATAGCCTTTACTGATGTCTATTTGAATCGAATATGAAAGCAAACAAACATATTTCCTCGAAGACTTTTTGATAATTATATCGTCAACACAAAGGATTGTGGGTACCTCGTTCAAAAGGACACAGATTTGAAAGGACATAGATTTGTGACGTCTATGACGCAATATAGAATAGGACACAGATTCAAGAAAAAGGACATAGATTTGAGGCTTACTTGTTTGTTAGGTTTTTCGTCGATTGGTTTCTTTTTATTCATAGGTATGCTCAAACATAAACAAAAAAGACCAATACCGTGTCTGGTCCTGCGTCGCTGCATGCAATTGATTGAGGTAACATGTATACTGAGCATAAGTGAGCATTCCTTTTCATTGAAGCGAAGAAAACTTTGACGAAAAGAGTAAAATTTCAAATGATCGACAAACAGAATTTCGAAACGGCACTGAGCACGGCAGATGTTATAATTGTTTACGCTACATTGCAACCAAATATAAAATCATTCGCGTGCATAGTAGCCTAGAAAAACATAAAAATTTGCCTTGTACAATGAGTGTTGTTCAAACTCAATATCGGTAAACAGGACGGGGCTACAAGGCAGATGTAATAATTGCTTACACGATGCAACTCAACAGTGTCAATATGTAGACCAAATATAAAAGCATTCCCTCTCATTGAAGTCAAGACAACTTTGACGAAAGTTTTCTACAGTAATCAAGATCTTCCGGATGGACGGAAGGTTTGGCAAGCCGTTCTCTTCAAAACTATGTTTAAACCGTTTTTTTCGAAAAAATTACACACTGAGAATTAAAAAAATCACACTGAGATTTAAGAACCTAAAATAACACACTGAGAAATCGAAATTACACACTGAGATTTTAAAATTACACACTGAGATTTAAAAAAAAATGAAAAACACGCACTGAGAATTTAAAATTACACACTGAGATTTTAAAAAGACACACTGAGATGAAATAAATTGAAAAACACACACTGAGAATTGTTAATTACACAATGAGATTTCAAAACTACACACTGAGATTAATATGCAAATTACTAATGAATATTCATGAGATGAATAATTCAACAGATTAATATCTTGGTCTCCCGAACTCTTGTCATTATAATGGAATGCGGTTCCTACAACCAACATTCGTAATAAATTTCAAGACTTACAAATGTAACAACTTTTTTTGCTGACTCATATTCATAAGTTTGTTGCCTATAATTCAGATTATTACTAACAGTTTATCGGGATTTTTTGCTTAAAACTGTTTAAGCATGGTCCCTTTTCAAAAGTCTTTCAACTGTTACCCAGATTTCGCAAGATAATCTTTTATATTTTTGCTACGTTTATATATGCTATAAAAGGTACTTGGAAAAAAATCACTGCATTGTTTGTATTTTTGCAGATTGTTCCAATGTGTTCTTATAATTTTAATAAAGTTTTTCACCATTTGATTATATTTTGTAATGAGAGTAAGTGGGTATTTTTCTTGTTCTATTGGTCTTTAAAAAAACAGTTTTTCTATACGTTGTATTTTTAATGTTTTTTTTATAAAACATTTAGCGCCAAATTGAAGGACTAACGAGTTCTGTCCCCCTAGTTAACCCGTTTTAAGCTTGTAATAGCTTCAGATTAAGTATGCTAAAAAGTATTTGCGCATAAAAAGTGCGCACAAATCTCAGTGTGTAATTTTAAATTCTCAGTGCGTAATTTTAAATTCTCAGTGTGTAGTTTCAAATTTTCAGTGTGTGTTTTTCAGTTTATTTCATCTCATTGTGTCTTTTTGAAATCTCGTTGTGTAATTTTCAATTCTCAGTGTGTGTTTTTCATTTTTTGTAATCTCAGTGCATTTTTTATGAAATCTCAGTGTGTAATTTTTAATTTTCAGTGTGTGTTTTTATGTTTTTTAATCTCAGTGTGTGTTTTTAGGTTTTTTAATCTCAGTGTGTTTTTTTTTTAATTCTCAGTGTGTAAATTTTTCGAAAAATGGTTTAAACATAGTTTTGACGAGAACGGCTTGCCATAGGAAGGGATGCATCACAGACAAAATGACCGTCGGAGTCTAACAGTTACTAGACCTGCTTTTGACGTTGATGACACAGGTCATAAAACTATATGACACAACACAAATCTGCGAAACTTCAAATCCAACAAATTTTTATTACGATGTGAAGCAAATACAAATTTAGCATAAATTTATCCTAATCATTTCAAATAATCTGCCTGAGCATATTTATCAATATGAATTGACGCGAAATTATATAGCAATGCAAACCAGTAAATGGATCAGGTATCGGATCGGACCTTGAACACCATACTGTACATTTTATCCATATTTAATACTTTCTCCGATATTTGTTACATAATAATTTCAAGATGGCGTGAACATCGTACGAAACCAATAGCTTTGCATCGCGAAGGAAATAGTTGACAAAAAAGAAAAAGGGGAAAACAGTTTTGATAAGGGAAAAAAATTGCAAGGAATGTCTGTATGCGAGGATGTGACATTCTAAGTTATTTTGCACAACAAGGTATCTTTTAGTTCGTTTCATATAATAAATTGGCTCTATGTAATATCTTGTTACGGCGTAGCTTTCTTCGAACATCTCGAATATTTGAAAGGTTAAATATTTATTATATGCATCTAACAGTCAGTGTAATGATATTGAGTGTCATAATATCGTTATCCTAATCGGTCTTCTTAAGAAGTTTGTTAAATGAAATCGATGGCTGTATTTCCTTAGATAATAGAGAACAAAGAGTCATAATGTTTTGTAAAAACTTATAAACGGGCTATACAATCATTTTCAAAGTCTAGTTCCCGGAAGAACTAAGTAATCAGGACATAAAGGATTAGGTGATCACCTTTTTATAGATGGTTTCAGGTATTTCCTAATTACATAAATCTTTGTTTTGGTTTCAATTACTTTCAGATAATAGATACGGTAGTTTTAATATACTGGAAAATAACATTTGTAAAGTCAGTCAGTTATATTATTCAAATACAAACTTTAAGTTATAATTATAGTAAATAGGAAACTACAAATACCAATACCAGATACTTTTATAGAAACTGCATGTACATATTATGCAATTTTTTTTTTTAGATAAACCATGGCGGAGGGAAGACGTAGCGGTAATGGCAGACGGTCACGAGGAAAATTTAATCTAGGTATCGTAGGACGATCCAATAGCGGAAAGTCGTCATTAATCAAACTCATGCTGCAGTCGCAGTTGGGACCGGAGAATGGCGATCTTCCTAAGACAGATTTTCTAGAATGTACAGAAAAAAGCGAGAAATTCGAAATTCCTGGTCGTTCAATTGTGTTATGGGATGTACCTGGAGTAGGAACACAAAACGAGGGTCTAGAGGGGTACGATGAAAGAATTGAAATAGAGAAATATGATGGTTTCGTCGTTTGCTGCGGAGGACCTGTTACTGAGTATGAACTTGCTTTGAATAATCTAATAGCAAGTCATGGGCGAAGATATATTTTTGTCAGAACAAAAGTTGACGCTGCTATTGAAAATGAAAAGAAGGCACATCCATCAACCTTTGACGAAGAGGAAACATTGCAGAAACTGAGAGATGGGATTAACGAAAAACTTTCTGAAAGTGGAGTAACTGAGTTTCTCGTGAGTAATCGACACCCTGAAAAATTTGACTTTGAAACGCTAAACTTTATTGTATTCGACAAAGGAGCTTTGGCTTCATATATGAAGAGTTGTATTAAGACAGTGAAAAATGAAAACATAAAGAGAAAACAAGTAGAATCAGAAATTTATTCACGGGTCTCCAACATTTGAAAAATCCAACTCACGTTTATCCAACGAATATCAAACAATAGAATGGCTTGGTGTTTATATAGCAATCAAAATTGTTCTTTTTAGAAAGTAATAGTGAGACTTGTAGACAATGTTTAATATAATTTTCATATTATATGTTTTAATAATAAATGTCAAATATTAAAGGAATTCAGAAAAATTCAAAAATACATAGGATATTTTATGAAAATTCGTCTAATACTGTTCAACTTCCGATTATAATCTAAAATAAAAATATTTATGACAGCTTGAAAAAGGTTTTTGTTAAACAATTTACTATAACATAGTAGTCTCAGTTTAGAGTTATACAATATCAAATAACAGTATCGTTCCGCATCTTTAGTAGGACTATTTTATAAGGTGGGTCACCCATTTCAGCTTGGTTAAGATTTCAAAGAAGCAGATCTCATTGAGCCCATACATTAACGTAATGCCTGAGTTTGAATGTTATATAAACAATTTTAGTGGTAAAAGAAGGTGAATTATATATTTCACAACCATAATCAATTTTTCATCCAATCAAAGATAAATATTTTTTTATAAGTGTATGTCGCATTTTTCATCCTCGCTTATGATTATTCCGTTTGGGTTATTTTGTGATGAAACGAAAATAAAGGCTTCAGGATATTGTTTCCGTCATCGGACGGACTTTTAAGTCATAGATAAGACTTCTGTTTAGGACTGTTTAAAATTACACAGAATGTTGGTAAATTTACAAACAACCCTTAATTCCTAACTTGATTACATACAATGTTTTGGGTACCTGAGCTACATGCACATGAACCGGTATCAAACATTCCTTCGGTCCCTGAAGGCGATAAAAATCCTATTTTTTGGGACCCCTGGAACCGGTATATAATCATGTTTTATCGAAGAAATAATTCATGCAAGCCATAGATTTTGAAAATTTTCACATGGTCTGGGTCTCTATATTGGAATTTTAATGTTTTGGGTACCTGAGCTACATGGACCTGTATCAAACATTCCTTCGGTCCCTGGAAGCGATAAAATCGCATTGTGATTTACAGTGGTTGTGGTTTATTGTGTATTTTATCATGGCTCTATTCATATTCGACGTAATAAACACCCCATATTAAAATTAATTTGCTTTCTTAAAAGTCAACACCTTATTAAGTCTGACGCCATTTCCAGATTTCAGTAAAATATGACGGTTTTGTGCACAAATCGTATTGTTTATTGAGTATTTTATTATGGCTCTATTCATAATTCCAATCTTCTTTGCAAATATCACATAATAATCTGATTTTATTAGTGAAATCCGTTTTGAGTGACTGAAATTGAAAAGGTTAACATATCGAGTATTCTGTCTTCTGATCCGGCGAGCGGTTTTAAGTTTTCGTGGTCAAGTCCTTTTCTCAGATACCATAAGCAATAGGTCTACTATATTTGGTGTATGGAATGGTTGTAAGGTGTACATGTCAAACTGGCAGGTGTCATCTGACCTTGACCTCATTTTCGTGGTTCAGTGGTTAAAGTTAAGTTTTTGTGTTTTGGTCTGTTTTTCTAATACTGTATGCATTAGGTCAACTATATATGTTGTATGGAAATATTTTACAATGTGCATTTCAGTCTAGCATGATTAATTTGACCTTGACCATTAGATTCACGGTTCATTGTGCAATATTAAAATTTTGTGTTTTAATCTGTTTTTCTTAAACTTTTAGCAATAGGTCATCTATATTTGATGCATGGAATGATTGTATGTATGTGTCTGTCTGGCAGGATTCATCTGACATTGACCCCATTTTCATGGTTCATTGGTCAATATAAAGTTTTCATGGTTTGGTCTGTTTCTTTTATACTAAATGCAACTATATTCGGTTTATGGAATGATTGCGAGGTGTACATGTATTTCTGGCTTGATTTATCTGACCTTGACTTCATTTTCTTGTATCATTTTAAGTTTATGTGATACTTGTAGTAAAACTTTATATTAAGAACTATCAACATAAAACCAATGGTCAGTAAAGCAGGCGAGACATATCAGTGTGTGCACTCTTGTTCTTTATATGCTTTAGTTTTTGAGATACATGTATAAACCAAAAACTTTATTTTCACCTGTGATGTTCATTTTCTTTAAACCGATAGAAATAATATCAGACTCGTTTGCAAGGGATGCATGCTATGCCAGTTTGTGGACCACAGATTTGAAATCAAAATACTGAAGTACTGAATATCGGATGACCGCAAGTTCTTGTGGATGGTCACAAGCACTTGTCTCAGAAAAAAAATGACATCTCTATACCTGAAAGTGAGGTTAATTTACAGAGATATATTATTTTTCTGAGACAAGTTCGTGCGTGGATGATGAATAAATGACAGGGAATTCAACCTCACCGTAATAACTATTATATTGTAGTGATACAAATCAGTATACTCTGGTTTGTTGTTATATACATGTATTATATTAATATTTGTATATAACAGTTACATCTATGTATAATTTTCGTCCATTTGTATATCATTCTATTCTACTATTCTAATACTAGTGCAGTGCAAGTGCATGGTGGACACTCTTCTGTAATAATTCGATTTTTCTAATAAAATGGATTTGAGTAGGCATTCATATTTTCCCGCAAAACGTTCTTGAGATATTCTTCCGCATGCGTTAACACAATTTTTCTGCGGTACGTGTGCATAGACATTAATGATTTTTTGCTTATATATATATATATTTCTAACGACAAAACATTTTCATATCATTAATAATTTATGTTCTTAAAAAAATATTTTTATGAGAATTCATTGAAAAAATGAATTTATAACAAGCGATAAGGAATGTTATTTTGCACTCGAAAATGTCCTCGTATTTATAGATCGGTTACCAGTCAAAAAACGAAAGTTACGTAAGTAGAAATCTCTGTGGCAACAATACATCGGAATGCCCTAACGGTCATCGCGATGTAAAAAGGGACCCCACCAATCAACGTTAGGATTGGAACTTGTAAAAAGTCTATGTATTTACCATAAATGTAGTTCCATAAAAGAGTGGGGGTGGCGGTCCCCATAAATAACTCTCAATATACCACCAATTTAAAAAAAAAACCGTTTGGCATTATGGATTCAGAGGAGATTTAGAAAAAGTTTACGGAGACGCCAAGTGATCGCATAAGCTCGCATTGCTTCAAGAGCAGGTAAGCATAACATTTACATGCATACTGTTTACAATGTACATATAAATGTACATAAAACAACTGATAATGCAAATAAATAAACTAGTAAACACGAAAGGTTGTTAATATAAGATAAGATAAGATAAGATAAGATACATCTATACTATTAAATGAGAGACCTCATTTTGTGTGTCGCTTCTCTTCCTTCCACAATAAATTAATCATCATGCCTATGTGTCCTATAGCTACCATGCATAGTCGCATTTTTATCCTCGCTTATGATTTTTCCGTTTGAGTTATTATGTGATGAAAACGAAAATAAAGGCTTCCGGATAGTGTTTCCGTCATCGGACGGACTTTTAAGTCATAGATAAGACTTCTGTTTAGGCCTGTTTAAAATTACAAAGAATTTTGGTAAATTAACAAACAACCCTTAATTCCTAACTTGATTACATACAATGTTTTGGGTACAGCTACATGAACCGGTATCAGATATTCCTTCGGTCCCTGAAAGCGATAAAAATCCGATTTTTTTGGGACCCCTGGAACCGGCATATAATCATGTTTTATCGAAGAAATAATTCATGCAAGCCATAGATTTTGAAAATTATCACATGGTCTGGGTCTCTATATTGCAATTCTAATGTTTTGGGTACCTGAGCTACATGGACCTGTATCAAACATTCCTTCGGTCCCTGGAAGCGATAAAATCGCATTGTGATTTACAGTGGTTGTGGTTTATTGAGTATTTTATCATGGCTCTATTCATATTCGACGTAATAAACACCCCATATTAGAATTAATTTGCTTTCTTAAAAGTCAACACCTTATTAAGTCTGACGCCATTTCCAGATTTCAGTAAAATATGAAGGTTTTGTGCACAAATCGTATTGTTTATTGAGTATTTTATTATGGCTCTATTCATAATTCCAATCTTATTTGCAAATATCACATAATAATCTGATTTCATTAGTGAAATCCGTTTTGAGTGACTGAAATTGAAAAGGTTAACATATCGAGTATTCTGTCTTCTGCACAACGAAACAAAAAGCATGGTGACAAAGCAACTCGCCTCCTAAAAATTGTGCGTTCATGTTACTTCAAATAGTTGACCTCTGCGTCGACATTCTTTAGATTTACATCCAATATTTTGAACTGGTGAAAAATTCAAAATGTTATATTGACATCAGTTCATGTTTAAGATACTTTTGATAACTTTCCTAAAATTCTCCAGTCATAAAATCTTTTACAAATTTATCCTACAACAGTTTACATACCTTTAACCACGCTCTAAATGCACGCGATTTCGCGGGTGTGTTCTAGTTTTATTTAAAGTCCGACACAAGTTTTAAACATTGAATTTTAAAGAGGATGTTGAAATATTGTCGAATGGATTCCTCTCATTTTTCATTGGCGGGGGTTGAAAAGTTCTGAATAGGGAGGTTAAATTTGACGCCTCTTGCGGGACAGTGCCGTGAAATTTTGCACTTAAAAGAACCCATGCAACAACCCCGTAGGTGGCCTGTTGCAAGGCGACATTTCACCCATCACACTCTCCTCTTCCAGGTTTAGGAGCTCTTATTCCCAGTTTTTCTTCCCGGTCGACTTTTTCTGCAGATAAAAATTATTATCTAAAAAGGTGGGTTTCGTCCAAAAAAATGTATAAAATACTTAGGCGATATTTCACCCATCATACTCTCCTCTTCCAGGTTTGGTAGTTCTTATTCCCATTTTCTTATCCTGGTCGACCTACTCTGCAGATCAAAATTATTTAAAAAAAAGGGGGTTTCGTCCCAAAAGTGTATAACATACTTGTCATTGGACGTTTAGAAGACAACAATCATCAATCAACAATATATAAAAGAATAATAAATGGTATTTTTCAAATAACTCATTCAGTCGAAATCAACATACCCTGAATACAGCTGAAGTACAATCATATATACAAATGCTGGCATTAATACTTATGTTAGGGAATTAGTAAATGTTAGATCAAGTGATGTCTTAGGGTTAGATAATAGTCAATTACCAATCCGTTAATTGTGTGATGCCTAATCACTGGATATAACTTGTCAATGTATTTTATAGGAGTAGCAGAACGGGTGTCACATGTGGAGCAAGA